TCTCAAAGAATTATACAAAATAAATCCTAAAATTCATCTGGAACTAGAAGAAACCTAGAATAGTAATGGTGATCCTGGGCCACAAAGAAAAGATAGGGTTCATCAAAATCCCTGACTTGAAATTATACTATAAATGTACTGTGATAAAAAAAAAGATGTAGTACTAACGAAAAACAAATCAAAACAAAACCAGAGGCAAAGATCAAAGGAACAAATTAGAAGATGGAGAAAGAACCCCAGACACACTAAACCATCTTATCTTTGACAAAGGTGCCAAACATAGTCACTGAAAGAAAGGCAGCCTCTTTAATATGGGGCTGGAAAAACGGGCTCTACACATGCTGAATATTAAAACTGGACCCGTATCTTTCAATGTGTATTAACCTAAGATTAGAATGGATCAAAGATCTTATATTAAAACAGAAACATTAAATCTGCTGCAAAATAGAGTAATTAAAACTCTTGAAGACATTGATGTAAGCAAAGACTTTATGAATAAAACATGGATTGAACAGCAAAAGTCAAAGAGAATTAAGTGGCATCTCACCCTACTGAAAAGCTTTTTAACAGCAAGGGAAATCACCAACAGAGTGAAGAGACAATCCACAACATGGGAGAAAATATTTGCCAGCTGTTCCTCACACAAACTATTACTATTGAGAGCATGGAAAACTCAAAATTGTCAATCTTCCCAGATTTAAAGACCCAATCCAAAAATGTGCATCTGAGGTGAAATACACAGTTGTCAGATGAAGAAATAGAAACAGCAAATAAATATGTAACAAAATGTTCTGCATCACACGTCATTTAACAATTGCAAATTAAATAACACTGATATGTCACCTTGCCCCAGAAAAAATGCCTACTGTCAAGAAATCAAGCAATAACGAATGCTGGAGGGGTTGTGGGGGAAAAAGGAACCCTTCTCCATTGTTGGTGGTAAAGCAACCACTGTGGAAATCAGTGTGGAGATTCCACACAAACTAGGTCTACAGGTCCCACTCAACTCAGCTATTCTCCTTCTGGATTCCTACCCAAAAGAATAAAAATCATCATACCACAGTGATATATGTGCACCCATGTTTATAGCAGCACAGTTTCTGATAGCCAGATTTGGATGCAATGCACAACCTCTAGCATGCCAAGCAGGAACTTCAGCTAAATCCCTGGACCACTTTTTTACTTTTTAACTTTCAAATAAAATGGGTTTGGGAGAAAAAACAAGCACGGAGGTAAAGCCCTTCAGTGCAAATACCCATCAGATGAGCTGAGGTCAACATTCCAGAAGACAGCCAGCTCCAGAAGCCTCCACCATCTTTCATTGGTGATCCACAGTTACAGGGTGGGGTTTTTTTTTCTGTAATTATTCTTGGTGGGGAAGGCAGGCAGGAGAGCGGAAGCCAATCAGTGATGAAGAGGCTGGCTGTAAGAACTCTACAATCAGGCGGGCCAAGGTAGGCGGTCTCTTCTGGTGTCATGGCATCAATTGCAAGGCCAGGGCAAAAAAGGGAGCACTAGATGTTTCCTAGACCACTATTTTTTGCTTCTATTCGCTGTGGACTGCTTAGAAAGAACCTGGGAGACCTCCAAACTACGCAATGGTGATGCTATGGGATGGGAACAGTGAAATGGGGTGGAATCCTGTTGAGACCAGTTAGAAGTGGTGAGAAGCAGCTGTGCTGTCTAGAGCCTGCATGCTAACCTCAAACCCTGAGGTCCTCTAGTGCTAGCAGTGAGTCATCCTCTGTGACTTTTACCTCTCGCTGGGGCCAGGACAGTTCTGGGTCCCTAGAACACTGTCGCCACTGTGACACCACCAGGCCACAATTCCATTTTTGAAATTGTCTGCTGCCCTTGCTCCTCCAACACTCTGGGCCCAGGAAGGGGCATGAGTAGACCCTGATTCTGATGTGGTTTCAAGCTGGGTGCAGCTGTAATAAGCTAGGTCTCTGCTCTCATTTCTGTCAGCAACAGATTTGGAAGCCAGAAGTTTATAAATGTTTGTGATGCAAGACTTCATAGCCACAACTGCTCTCCTTAAACTTATGCATTTATGTATTTTGTGATCGCCTAAATTTATACTATGTTCTCATATTTCCATACTCATGAAAGGTGGAGGCAAAGGTTCTGAGAATTCAAAGATGTGTAGTGATGTGCCTCAGTGGAGAAAGGCTTCACAAACACCGGATGAACTGCTGGGTATTATACAGAACAATGCAAAGAATTTCTGAACATACTTTTTGTGACACATGTGCTCATAGACAATGTTTGGAAGAACAGCCACAGAGGTTTAAATTTTGAGAAAAAGGAAGCAGATATAAATGTGTCATCAAGGGCAGGGTAAAGTGGGCTTGATAAGGACAAATTCCAGAAAGGCCTGCCTGTTACATTCTCATTGAAAAATGCCTAAATTTAGTCATTTGCATGAACATATACACATGATATCCTTCTGAATGGTAAGGAATGTGGGTGACATCTCTGACTTAAGAGGAGATTTAATAGCTTGGTTGATCATACACATTGTTTAAATATGGAAATGCTCTGCAATGGACTGTACTAAGTGGTGTAAAGGAGATGCCATAAATTGAAATTGTGCAGGGATATCAATAGTTTAGTCATGAAGGGTTTTCTGCTTAGGGTGGATCAGAAGAGCATGGAAAGGATGTGGAAGTGACTGGCAGGATGCAGTGTGCCAATAGCAGGACATACAACAGAGAGGGTCTTCCCTGAAAGTCAGGTAGTTCCTAGGATAAGCATGAAGTTAAAGTTCGCTTCTGATTTCTTCCTTGAGGTGAATAACACCAGCTGGTAACAATCTATATTCTGCATCCCTGTCAACACATGAATTCTGTGTTCTTCACTTGTGTTCTAATTTTGATTATCTCTAACTATGACCCAGTGTCATGAACAAGAAATTTGAATTTTTTTTTGTAACAGGGATCGAACTCATGATCTCAATACCCAGCTCTGAAAGTGTTTTCTGTACACTATGGATGATATCAACATCTGTTGATATCAACAAAATTTTCTGTTCCTCAGAAAATTTTAAATATTGTGGAATTTTTCTATATTGTATGGATATAATTTTTAAAGCAAACCAAAAGTGACTTATGCAGTCACCTTTCAAGTTTCACATTGTCTGTGGGGTGTCTCAGTCAGGGTTTCACTATTTCAGACAGCTCTGTAACTTAGGCTAGCCCCAAACTCAAGGAAGTTCTCCTGCACCAGCCTCCCAAGACATATTTCTTATTTCTGAATGGAGAGTGATCACTTGGTGACACTAAGCTGTAATTGGAAACTGGCACCTGGTTTCAATGTTTATAGTTTTTTTTTACATACAGCAGTTTTCCATGAACATTTGAGTTATTATTTATGTATCATATTTCGTGTTATTTATGTTTTGTTCTATGAAGCCAAATTTAAATATCAAAATGCTGCTTAAGTATATTAAGAACAAAGGCCTCAGTGGCCTAAATGAGATTTGAAAAGATATCATTGTTAGTACATCAAAGTGATTCATGAGATATTTGTCTGCCTCTGTGCTTTATGCATGCTGGTCCTGCAGACTGTCACTATGAGCTCTGCTTTAGAGACAGTGCACAGGGACTCTTGCAGTGACTCAGCATAAGAATCAGTGCTCCTCTTTGGGTGTTAAATTAGCTGTGAGTTGCAATATAGCATAAAATTTGCTGTCTCAATAAATGTGTATAAACAAAAAATCAATCCCCAAGATATGGAATTAAGATTTGAAGAAATCAGTCTCCATTCAGCTGTTTTGTTTGGTTTTATTTATTTAGTTTAGTTTTGTTTTATTGTGACAAGTTTTCTCTATGCATATCACCTAGATTTGAACCCTTTATGGAGTGCAAAATTGCCCTAATCTCAAAGCAGCACTCCTGTCTCAGCATTTTGAATGTGGGATTATAGATATGTGTGTTTTTACCCTAGAAAATATTGAGGCTTGTAACTTAGCTGTGTTGTAGCTTGGCATAATAGATGCCATCTTGAGCTTTGCATTTAAGTAGTTCCCTGTATTTCACCCAGAAAAGTGGAAAATCACACAGGGTAGAAGTCCCAGGAGAAAAGCAAAATGAGCTGTACCCAAAGAAAAAAATTAACCTGCTCAACAAAAGAAGCAGAATACAGTTGTCATCCAACCATTATTATAAGATTCTAGCTAAATGATTTCCAACAGGATCTTTTAAAACATCTGTACCTTTCCAGTTCAGAGCCTCTTGTTTAGATCCTGAAATGGGGGTGGGGGTTCTGTATACAGGTGGTCCTGAGACCAGCTATGAAATTCCACATTTCTCAATTGGGTTCCTATATTGGCTTCCTAAATTATTGTTCACAAACTCAACTCAAGCTGAAGAAACCTTTACTGACACAAGCAAACCTCAGGATTAGACAGTGCCACTGAAAGGAAAGAATAATTGTGAAAAAGAGAGGAGAAAAAAGACAAACACAATGTGCTATAATGCCCACCTCTTTTCCCAAGGAATGAAGAAGCTGAAACAGGAGAATGGCCATGTATTGAAGGACAGCCTAACCTACATAGTGAGTGCAAGGCTGGCCAGAACTCTAAAGTGAGACTATGTCTTTAAATCAAAAAACTGAAATGAAAAAAACAACAACAACAACAACAAAGTAGACAGAAAGACTATTGAAAACAAAAATAGAGCTGAGTGAAATTTGACTTATGTAAAATGGGAATTATTGAATGATGCTGGCAGAGGAAAGAAGGCCATGTAGTGGCATGCAGTGGCATCCAGGAGGCAGTGACAAACACAGACTTAGGAATGGCACCTATTGTGCTACAGCACAACAGTGACCTCCTTCCTCCAATACATTTGCAGTTCACTAGAATGAGGACTTCTAAAAGCTCATGGGAATGTTAAACTCATGGCAAACAAACAGTTTGAAATTCAGGCTTTGGAACAATGCCTTTAGCAGACATTTCATATTTAAATTGAGATAAGAGAAATATAATACTGCCCTGCTTGATATCAAATGCACCGTTTAATGGCTCACAACATTGAGAAATGAAGTCACAAACCAAAAGAATTTCAAAAATTGTCTTAGAAAAAAAGAGAGAATAGCTCTGAATTTTCAGGAGTGGTCTTCAGTATTTTGAACACAGTCATATTGTCAGGGGTCATTTATACAGGATAGTCACAATGTGGGCAAACTGTAGGTCTCAAACTACAATCAATCTATAAGATTATAGGTGCTTAACTAATATTATTCATCAGGGGAACAAGTCAGCCAGAAAAGATATGTGGAAAGAGCCAAGGCATTTTGTGGGAACAATAGTCCAATTGTTCTGGTAATTGAGTATGGTAATTGATGCCTATCAGGACTTCCTGGAGGAGGTGGTGGTAACTGTAGTACATTTCAAGCTGTTGTTTTTCTTTTCAGGAGCATGTAGACATTGTCACTGCATCTTCACCTTCAGGTCTGGCTTTCTTCCCCTGCACCTGTAGCAATGATTGTTGTATTTAGTTTTTTGCATTGACTCTTTGAGGTTCCAGTTCCCCTCTGATTGTATACCAATTTCTGTCTACATTGACAAACTTTGCTAAAATCACAGTACTATTTGAATGAATAAAGTGAAATATTCATTAATACATGCCAGGGATTTCACTCAGCAGGCAGAAACACCTGCCTGGAAAGTGCTAGACAGTAACTTTCATACCTGGTACCTAAAAAAAATAGTAATTTAAACTACAAGGAAAGAAAATAATTTCATTTGGGAAAATGTAGGTTTACAAAATTTATACTAAATATGTCAATGGCAAATTAAACATTGTTAAAAGTTATATTTAGTATCTAAAGTTGTTGGGGCTGGGGATTGAACTCAGTGATACAAGGAGCTGCCTAGAGAGCACAAGGTCATGAGTTCAATCCCTCATACAGAAAAAAAAAAATCACAGTTGTCAACGATGCAGTGCTAGGAGCACATTTACTGAAACTGATACTTGGTATTTAATAGGCTCAATGTTTCCTTTGTGGTCTATGAAATACCTGCAGATAACATGGCAACTACAGTGAATGATATACGGTCCCCTATAGGATTGCTATTTTCTGAGTTGTTTTTATTTTTTGTTTTCCCACAAACTTGAAAGTTGAAAATGTTGGCTAATGCTAGCTAGAAACACTGTGATAATCATTTTTCAGTTTAATGATATATTTCCCTATATTCATTAAGAACATTTTATTTGCTACAATTGCTCCAAGTCAAATTGATAAACAATTCTTAAAGTTACAGGCAGCTGAGTTAGTTAGAAATACAGGCAGCCATACTGTGATAAAGTGGAATGAAATTCCTGACCTTTTATGTCTGGTATGAGTTTGTGTTCTCTAAAATGCAAGAATGAATTTTAGGAACAACAGAGTAGAACATATTTATTGAGAGAAAGAAAGTGATAATATTTTGCTCTAAATAGGGTATTTTGGAAGTCGGAGGTGGAACCAGGGCACTTTTACTTTGAAGTCACTTTCCTTTTCCCTACTCAAGGTACCTGTGGCAAGGAACAAATCTCAATCAGCTACTTGCATATCAGCAATGCCAACTTTAACCACCAACCAAGTCAAAAACTATATGTATGCCACCCACACTTTTTCAGAAGATGAAGCCAGACCCCCAGTGGTCATAGGGTTCTCTCCATATTCTTAGAATAAAGGCCATTTTGACTTTATATTGTCTTCTTTACTATACCAAAAATCCTATCAGAAAGCTTCTGTCTGGGAGAAACAGGAGGGGTTCTGAGCTGGTAGCAAAGGACTCTGTCTTTTCTAGGGATTTTATAGAATAAAATCATGTGGTGAGATAGGTTTAAAATGGATTAGATTACTGAAGTTACTGAGGACATATATTAGCACAGTAGAGAAGCAGAATATAAGAAATGTAAAAGTGGCCTTTTACTTAAACAATATGGAGAGGAGCCCACAGTCCCCAAGAGTTTGGCTTTTTTTTTTTCCTGACTGAATATGGGGATATGGGGTATATGTGACTTTTGACTGGATGTGGTGCTTGGAGGGGAGATTGATGTCATGTGAGAGCTGAGGGGAATTTTCTTTTGGCCCCTGGGAAAGAAAGAGGAATTTGTAATTAAGGAGAAAAGAGGAAGTGGCCATATGAGTAAGCATCCCTGATTTCACATTGTTCCACTTTGAACTACTACCATGAGGTCCTGTAATTGTTTCTAGGGTAAAACACTTTGAAGCACATCCTTCGATTGGAATGAAGAAATCAAAATAAAGAATGTACTTATTGAGAGAAAGAAAGCTGCCTGAGAGAGATAAGGGGTCCTGATCAGGTTGCCAAACACTGTCCTTTCTATAGACCTTTATGGAGTAAAATCATGTGGTGAAATGAGTTTAAGGTGGGGAAAACTAGGAACTCACAATGCAGATGGGCATAAGATGGGAGAGAGCTATGGTACCCAATAGGATTATTAAGTTCAGGTAAAGCTGATTAAATTGGGAACAAAGGGGGAAGGGAGTCACATAGAAAGCAGACATTCTTAGAAAGCTGTCTCTTCCCTTAGGGGTTTGGGAGGGTGACTTCTGAGTTCCTCAGTATGATAGGAACTATTGAGAATGTCACTCTACGATAAGGATACAGGTGACTCCTGACTTCCTAAGAGTGCTAGGGAGCTATTTAGAATATGGATGAATTTGCTTATCATTGTCTTGAGCCTTGGCCCATAGCATGAGTGTCAGTCTTCCCCATAGTTGCAAGGTATCTGGTCTCCTGCATTAGCTCCTTGGAGGACCTAGCCTTGGTTCATGCCAAGAGTATTTAAGTAACTCATCTTCCTTTAACAGTACTTTTTGGAAAAATGATTAGAGATGTCTTGTGCTCCGGTTGAATGATCTGGGGATGACAGTGTGCAATGAATATACCAGTGTTGCCCCCTGATTGACATGTTTTGAAATTCAAGTTTAGTTGATGTGCTCTTTTGTCCTTGAAATAAAATGGATTTGAAAATTAAAAGCCTGAGGTAATGCTCTTCAGTACAAACACTCCTCTGTCGAGCTGAGTTCACCACTGTAGAAGAATGGCAGCTCCAGAAGACTCTGCATTACAGTCTATCTTTTGGGATCCTCTCTTGCAGGGAGGGGTTCCTTTCTCTGTTTATTCTTGACTCAGAAGAAGGGCAGTAGAGCAGGAATCAATCAGTGATGAAGGGGCAGGCTATATGAACTGTCCAATCAGGGGAGCCCTTGCTGGCTGTGACTTCTGTCTCTTCCAGTGTCTCAGCATGATTTATCTTTCTGAGTACAATAGTGGTAGCAAAACGCCTCTGCCATTGCAGACCCATTCATGGGCATAATTCCCATGTCTTGTCAAGGGCTAGTTTATTTACACAACATGCAGAGCACTTTTCTCAGCCTTGTTACACCAGACCTGTGCATTTTCAATCATTTCTTCAAAGGAAGCTAAACAATTTAGTTTGAGAAAACTTCAACTGTGTTGCTGTGCTTCTGTGTGACTTCCTTGCTGCCAGACTTGAAAAAGGCAGTGAGTTGGACCTGCTGGAGGGTTATCCTCAGAGGGACGTGCTTTGCACAGCTGTGCCAGGAAGTGCTGCTCATTAGTTGACTGGCCACCCTGACATCCAAATGTCCTTTCCCCAAGCTGGTCTTGGTTTTGGGAAGCATTGGACTGCAATAGAGACTCCCTGTGCACTGGCTGGCTCTTAGAAAGCCTTGTGCTGCCATGAGGTTGTCGGTTCCTAGATCTTCACCTCTGTGGCCCTGGGGCCAGTTAGTTCCAGCAACCATGCACAGCATTCTCCAGGTAGCTCTCTTGTGCACCCTCTATGTGGAGGCTAGGGAGGGTCCCAGTTCCTTCCTGCTTCAAAGAGTACTGTGAATCAAACTCTTGAACAAAAATCTTGAAAAGTTGTGCAGGTTTCTCTCTGGGAGAAATCTCTGTTCTTAGCCCTGCATGCTGCAGGGATACCAGTGTATAGCTCTGATGAGAGCTGCGTGTCAAAGTTCTGCTCTGCTCTCCATAATTTCATGTGTGCTGTTCAGCATCTGCTTAGAACCTGCCATTGAATGGGGACACAGCACATCTCAGGGATCTGTCCCCTGCATGCTTCAGCTTTGGGAGGCTCAACATTTTCTGTACTTGTTGGCCATGTGTGGTGACTGCCTTTGAGTTACAAGAATTTGTCACTTCTCTCACAAAGTGGACTCTTGATACATCTTTCACACCTGTAATAACAATCATCTATCTGACTATTGGTTGTACGGAAAGGTTTCCTGCTGTAGTCTCTACATTAGTCTTGTTTCTGTTTTTTAAATGCAATGTATCAGAACTTTCAGTCTCTGTTCTGTCACTGAAATCATGGGAAAGCTTTTCCAACATGAAAAGATAAGTATATATACAATGGTCTCTACGTTTTCCCTGCAGACTTTGTCTATCTGGTATTTTCTCTTCTATCAAAGAGCAATAGCAACCAGTCTCCTCCAGTAATGTTTGGCCAAACAGAATCTGATGCACTGATATGAAAGATTAAGAGTAGCTAATCACATCAAGAGAAATGTTAGAAGCACATGGGGACTAGCAGGAGAGTACAGGACTATGGATGGGTCCAAAACAGCAGAAAACTGAAACTCAACAGATGTGAATATTGTACAATTTGGCGATGCGCTTATGATAGTGCTACTGAGTTGAACATGTTGAAACTAATAAATCTTAACTGTTAATTTAAATTAACTTAGAATGTAATGTTTAGAAGAATTACATAAGAGTAGAAATGCAAACTGAAAGAAATAAAAGAGGAACAAGGGGATGGAAGGGAAAGGCAATACTTTGCAGGACTTGGCCTTATGCAGAGCTCAGGATGTCTACCATGGTGCCAGCAACAGCCCCAGGTCTGAAATTCATGAAGTCCTGGTACTGAACTGGGCATAGCTTTCGCATTGATCCCAGAGCTGGTGAGGTCACTGGAGGTGGAGCTCGCACTAGCTCAGCAAGTAGGACTTGAGCTCAGTCAGGTAGCAGCCCTGCCTCAGAGGAGGGAGAAAAATCACCAACTATCCTTGATCCTTGCAGGCTCCAAAGCCCCCCAAGGCCTCTCAAAGACAATTCTGTGCACAAATCCACCCCAGAAAAGCTTCCTGTTCTGCCTTGCCCCACTCACTTGTGCATGCCTCATTGTTGCAGAAGGCCCTAAGTTTGAGAGTCTTTCTCCTTGTAAAGTTACACATGCCCTCCCCAGAGAATAATAGAACAAGGCCAAACATTGCTCACTGGAGTTCTTGTCTTCAGTGAGTTCAGGTTGTTCCAAAAGACTCAGTTTTTTGGCCTGGGTGTCCCAACTTGGTAAGCAGCACCTTCCAGGAGTCAGTAAAGGAAGCACTGGTCCTAGGGAGGACAAATGTAAGCAGCAGTACAGGTCCGGCCTCCCTCCCAAACTGCTCTCCCAAGGCATCCTGTGGAGTTGGACACCAGCCTCTT